GATGTCCCCCTCAAACAGAAGGGGAACGGAGCCCATCATCAGTGGTATCCGGGCACGTGCATGCCACGTCCCTCTCCCCACAGTGCCCAGTGCCAGCAACAGCTCATGCACATGTGTGTGCATGGGCACAGCCCATCCGCAGGACCAGGAGGAGTGCACAGGGAGCAGCTTCAAGCTGCTGGCCATTGCTCCACCCGTCCGTCTGTCTGAGCTTCCCCCCAGCTGTCCCTGCGCAGCACCGGGGACGCACCTTCACGAACTCTCCCGGAGGTCCCGGTGGCCCCACGGGTCCAAGTGAACCAGGGGGACCTGGATCACCGAAGGGCCCTCGTGGCCCAGGGCTCCCAGGGGGGCCACGGCTGCCCTGGAGGACAGAGATGCTCCGTTAGCTGGGGCTGCAGCATGGGCTGGGGGTGCTGGCAGAGACCCCCGTGGCATCGCCATCCCCACACCTACCGGCGTGCCCGGCTCCCCTTTCTGGCCTGGCAGCCCCTGTCCTCCATCCACGATCACCCTGGGCTCTCCCTGAATGAGGAGAGGGAAGAAAAATCAGTGTCCCCATGTGCCCTGTTGTGTTCCCAGTGCAGGACGGGGCCACAGTGCCACAAGGCCAGGAGGCTGGCAGGGAGATGGGAAGACCCTGGGGTCACCCAGGCACCAAGCACCAGGAGATGCCAGGGGCTGAGCTGAGCCTGCCAGGGTCCCCGCTGCTCCCCAGGGACCCCCGCGGGGCAGCCCCATGCCCATCACCTACCGGCTCGCCTTTCTCCCCCTTCGGGCCAGAAAGCCCCATCGGTCCCCGTGGTCCCTGGGAAGGAAAGACAAGAGTGAGCAGGGGGCAGAGGGCAGGGAGTGGGGCTGGGGAGGGATGGGCCCATACTCACAGGATCCCCTCGGGGGCCAGGGACTCCCTGGGTGCCCTGGAAAACAACAGCTCAGCAGGTGAATGCGTGCCCCTGCCAGCCAGGGGAGCAGGGACGGGATGGGATGGGATGGGATGGGATGGGATGGGATGGAGGGGAGAGCTCCAACCAAAGCAGGGATGGACAGTCCCTGCCCAGTACACTCGGCCTGGGACACACACACAGGGGACAGCAATGACGCTGCCAGCTACGGACACCCTCTGGCACAGGGAAAGGGTAGGCAGAGGCCGGCTCAGGGAGCTGGCAGGGCGATAGGAAGAGCCCATCATGCAGCAGCAAACCCAAGGGACACCCCCACTCACCGGCTGGCCAGGTGATCCAGGGTTCCCGGGGCGGCCGGGGCTTCCCGGTGTCCCATCGGCTCCAGGGAATCCCTGCGGGAGAGAGCAGCATCATGCCAGCGCCTGATGCACCCCGGCACTGGGAGCCTGGGACAGCCCCACGGCACAGCCGGGTCCTGGGGTGCCCTTCCCCTGCGTGCTGAGCTGGGGTGTGAGGGAGCAGCGTGGCGCTGGACCAGGGATCCCCCCTCAGCCTGGGTGAGGAGGAGAAAAAGGGAGGGACAAAGGGCAGAGAGAGGCCCCGTGGGGCCACATCCCTGTACCCAGGGACCCGGCAGCGCGTGGGTGAGGGGGTCGGAGGTACTCACCCTGTCCCCTTTCTTGCCTGGCCGCTCGACGCTCTCTCCTGGTAGACCCTGTGGCCCCGGGGGTCCTGGAGGGCCGGGCAGCCCGTGGCGGCCCTGGAGGGACAGTAGAGAGGATGGGCTGGGTGGTGGGTGCTGGCCAAGGGATGTGCCCTGCCCACCCCTGCAGCAAGGGCTGGACACGTCCCTGCCCCACACCCCCCCCACCTGCAGGACAAGGGGGGGCGGGGACCACGTGAACGCCCCCCATC